ACCATCACCATCAACATCACCACCACAATCCCCATCACCAGCACCATCACCATCACCATCACCATCACCATCACCACCATTATCACCATCACCATACCATCACCCTCACCCTCGCCCTCACCATCACCATCACCCCCACCCTCACCATCACCATCACCATCACCATCACCATCACCATCACCATCACCGTCACCATCACCATCACCATCACCATCACCACCACCATCACTATCACCATCACCATCGCCATCACCAGGACCATTCACCATCATCACCACCACCTACCATACCACCATCACCATCACCATCACCATCACCATCACCATCACCATCACCATCACCATCACCATCACCATCACCATCACCATCACCCTCACCCTCACCCTCGCCATCACCATCACCATCACCATCACCCCCACCCTCACCATCACCATTACCATCACCATCACCATCACAACCACCATCACCATCACCATCACCATCACCATCACCATCACCATGACCATCACCATCACCATCACCACCACCATCACCATAACCATCACCACCACCATCACCATCACCCTCAATCACTATCACCATGACCATAACCATCACCATCACCATCACCATGACCATGACCATGACCATTACCATCACCATCACCATCACCATCACCATCACCATCACCATCACCATCACCATCACCATCACCATCACCATCACCATCACCATCACCATCAACATCACCGTCACCCTCACCCTCGCCTTCACCATCACCATCACCCCCACCCTCACCATCACCATCACCATCACCCTCACCCTCACCCTCACCATCACCATCACCATCACCATCACCCTCACCCTCACCATCACCATGGCCATCACCATCAACCATCATCATCACCATCACCATCACCATTACCATTACCATCACCATCACCCTCAGCCTCAGCCTCAGCCTCACCCTCACCCTCACCATCACCATCACCATCACCCTCATCATCACCATCACCCTTACCATCGTCATCATTGCCGTCATCATCGTGTCTCGCGTCCTGGCTTCGCCACACCCCTCGCACGCTTCGTGGCCCCATAAGGGGGCGCCACCGAAGGCCTCAGTCTCTGCGTCCGCAGGCGGTCCCCCCGCGCCCAGCTCGGATCACCCACCACACGCGTCGAGGTTACGAGGAGCTCCGCCGAGGGCCCCGGTGGGTGCGGCCGCATGCGATCCCCCGGCCCGTGTCGGCACACCCTTCACACGTCTCGTGACCCTCGAGAAGCGTTTGGAGTGAGATGGAGTGGGGCAGCGCGGGTGACCATGGCGGTCGCCAGAATACATCGCGCGCGCTTTCTCCAGAGCCCGCATGGGATTCGAGGTACCCTCTGAGCGTTGGTTCGGCACGCTCTGACACCTTCTGTGGTATTCTGGGGAGCTCTATCGAGACTCCCCGTGGGTGCGTCCACACGCGGTCCTCCCCCGCCCATTCACCCATCAGGGCGCTCCGCCGAAGGCCCCAGTGGGAGGATCCACTCATCTTCGCTGCGAGCTTGCAGAGGGCCTCCTGGAGTCGTTGACTCGCGAGGCTTCGGTGACGCTGACTCTCAGTGTGTTCCGCTCTCGTGGGGAGCTGCTTGTGAAGAGAGGGCCGCAGGTTCGGCATTGGAGGCGGCGTCATCCCCCGCTTCCATTTCGAGTGAAATCTGCAAGGGCTCCCACGAGGGCGCGAAGTTATTCGCGCTTCGCGCTTCGCGGTCCTCGTTCCTTCTCCCCCTCCTCATCGTCCTCCTTTACTCCCTTTTGGGGGGCGGCGAGAGAGCGCGAAGTTATTCGCGCTTGGCGCCTCGCGCAGCTCGAAGCGCGAAGTTGGGAGCCCTTGAATCTGGCAGGCTAAGGTGTCAGGATTTCCGTCTTGGTGTTTCTGTAGAGGCTGTAGGAATCGTTCTGGGCAGACCACCACCAGAGAATGCGGGTTGTCCCGTGGGTCGTCCCGTGGTTTTCCCGCGGCTGCCCCGTGGTTGTCCCGCGGGTTGTCCAGTGCTTGCCCCGTCCCCGCTGTCGCGCCAGAAGTCCCAGTCGACATGTACACATGATTGCGCACGCCATGCGCGTCGATGCGCATCGATATGCAAGTCGAATGCCAGCCGACGTGCACATCGAAATGTAAGCCGAGCTGCAACCAAAGCTAGACGTCGAACTACACTTCGAATTTTATATTCAGTCGCAGTAGAACTACGACACGGAAATCCACTTGCAACCAGCGTGCACATCGACATTCACATCCAAGTGCAATCGAAATGGTCCTCGACTTGCAATTGAACTGCAACTTGAAGGGCACATCGGAATTCACGTTCCTCCTGCCAAGCCTCCTTCTCACCCGAGGGGCGGTCCATGAGGTGAGCATCAAGTTGGCATGCCGGGGTGGCGCTGGAAACAGGTTCAGGTGCACGGACGAGCGAGGAGGACTGGTGGAGAAGGCAGGAGGACGAGAACAAGAAAGACGAGGAGGAGGAGGAGGAGGAGGAGGACGAGAAACGAAAAAGACGAGGGGGGGAGGAGAGGGGAGGAGGAGGAGGAGGAGGAGGGGGTAGGAGGAGGAGGAGGAGGAGAGGAGGAGGAGGAGGATGAGGAGGAGGCGCTGGTCGTCGATGGCAGGACTCCTTGCGACCTCCGTCGAGAACTGGTGCGGCCGCGCTCCAGGCCGCGGCAGAGGGGCGGAGGGGCGGGGCGCGGGGCGGGGCCGTGCAGGCAGAGGGCGGGGGGCGGTCGGAGCGGCAGACGACGGCGAGGAACTGCCCAGGGACGGAGGAGGAGGAGGGGGAGGAGGGGGAGGAGGAGGAGGAGGAGGAGAAGGAGGAGGAGGAGGAGGAGGAGGAGGAAGACGTAATCTCAAGTCGGGCCTGTCCCTCTACAGGAGGAAACTCGGGGGCGGAAAAGAGGGGGGTGATGACCAGGGGGGGGGGGATGTCATGGCGGGGGCCATGATATTTCCCCAGATCTCATGGCGCCTCTTCTTATTTCATTACGTCCCTGGACCCCCCGCTGGGCCGCGCACATGCCGCCGGTCATGATTTGCACCCCCCCCTCTTGGACACCCCCCTTTTGGCCGCTCCCGATACAGGAGGAAACGTAATCCGAGTTTCTTCCTAAGCGCGGGATGGGGGTTACCCCCGCCGACGGGGGTCAGCCTCTCCTTGTCGTTGCGCCGCGACGGGGGTCGGAGCGCCTTCGGCGCGCGGTGGCTGCCCGCGACGGGGTTCGATATGGAGCTGTCGGCAGGGGTGACGCCCCCCCGACGCTCAGTAAGAAACTCGGAGTAGCCATCCCATCTGATGCGAGCGCCAAAATCAACGGGCCCATCCGACACGAGGGATGATCTGGAAAGACTTTTTTTTTGCGTCGGCGGCGAGGCAGGGGGAAGTCTGCGCTAGCGGAAAGGCCTAAACGGGGGTGCCGTTTGGGCAAACTGTGCCACCATGCAAGAGGGGGGGAGGAGGAGGACGTGGCCGAAAAAGGGGGCGGAGGGAGCGAGCCGCTCAGAGGGACGATGACCTGAGAAGACATGCGAGCCAATGAACACAGCAGGGCAGGAAGCCGTTGCGTTGAACGCTCCACGGGACCCGTATGGGGCAATGCTGGAGGAAAGGCATTGGAGAGGGAATGGCACGTGGACGATTGACATGAGGCAGAGGGGGGCGAGGAAAAGAAGGCTGCACGGAGGAGAGCGAGGGCGACAGGGAAAACGATCAGGGTGACGAGGAGAGCAAGTCCCCCAGGGCGCTCGCCTCCGCTGGGGCCTCCTACTTCTCTTCGCGGGCAGTCGGACGAGCGTGTTGGCGTCTCGCCGAGTGCCTGTTGGTTGCCCGCCCGTGGCCGCCTCGCGGCCGCCTCGAGCGCGGGGTGGGGATGCCGACATGGCTCGTATCACAACCGCGGCACCAGAGCCGTCGGCAGTGCGACAGGGCGGAGGGCGGGGCACCTGAAGCAATAGGGGGCCCCATGCGAACCCTACCCCTACCCCCCACGATTTCTGAGGGGGAGGGCGGGGTTCACTCCGCTCGGGAGCTCTCGAGCGGAGTGAACCCCACCCCTCCCCCTCAGAAGTCGTGGGGGGTAGGGGTAGGGTTCGCATGTGGCCCCCTAATCAAGCTGGGGTTGCTCTCCGGGGAACACGTTCGGCACCCGCCGATGCGACCCTGCCGTTGCAGGAGCGCGGGCCTCTGAGCCCCCGTCGGAAGCTCCATGCTTGGCAGAGCGCTGCTGCTCTCTGGGGGGGCAGGAGGCCGGGTGGATTTCCAAGGAGGCCCCCGAAGGTGGAGTGTCTTTCCGAAAGGCTCAGGCGACCCGTCCTCCTCCCGCCTCCTCCTCCTCCCTCCTCCTCCTCCTCCTCCTCCTCCTCGTCCTGCTCCTCCTCCTCCTCCTCCCTCCTCCTCCTCCTCCTCCCTCCTCCTCCTCCTCCTCCTCCTCCTCCTCCTCCTCCTCCTCCTCCTCCTCCTCCTCCTCCTCCTCCTCCTGCCCTGGCCGCCGCCGCTGCATTTGGCTGGCTTCGGCCCGGTCGCCGGGCGCAGCCTGCCCCGCGCGCTCGCGCCCGCGCGCCTCGGCCGGCCACCGATGTGGCGGGGGTGCTCCGCGCGCTGGGCCCGCTGCCGCGGGCCCGTTCGCCGTGTTGCGGGTCGCCGGTCGCTGATTTGGATCGCTGGTCGCCGGTATCCTCCCCTTCCTCATCCGCCTCGTCGTCGTCGTCGTCGTCGTCGTCGTCGTCGTCGTCGTCGTCGTCGTCCTTCCACTCCTCGTCGTCCTTTTCCATATGCCCTCTTCCCCAGCGCTTCGAGCTCTGCGGGGGCCCTAGCTGCGACGCGATCCCGAGCCCGCTCGCTGTGTGCCGAACAGGGGGGCGGGTGCCGGTGGTGGCGCTCGCAACCCTACAGTGGGCAATGATCGAATGGTCGGGTCAAGTCCGCTGGGATCTCGAGTTCGGGTTCGCATTCTGGCGGCGGAGGCGGTCGCGGTCATTGCCGAGGCCGAAACGCGCACCTCTCGCAGTTCGCGCGCAGGGCCAACTTGGGGCTGGAGGCTCTCCGCCCAGCCTGCCGGCACCTCCGGGCATGTCTTCTGCCACCTTCGTGGGTGCGGGTATGGCCGGGGCGGAATGGTGGGACTCGGGACACCTCCTGGTCAAGCTCCTTGTGCTCACTGTCCCTCTCCGGGGCCGAGGGAACGAGGGCACGTCTCTTGCTTCTCGTGCTCGCTCCAGTCTTTCGCGTCCCTGTCCCCTAGCCTCTGGATGTTCGGAGGGAGAGCTGCGGCAGTGCTTGTCTGTGCAAGGGACGTTTCGCGCTCCTGGCGGAGCGCTTCTCAGCCAAGTGCCTGCGAGGGCTTCCATGCATCATGCATCGGGATGAGGAGGAGGGGGAGGAGGAGGAAGAGGAGGAGGAGGAGGAGGAAGAGGAGGAGGAGGAGGAGGAGGAGGAGGAGGAGGAGGAGGAGGAGGAGGGCGAGGAGGGGAGGACGGGGAGGAGGAGGGCAAGGCAAGCATCTTCCTCGTGCTTCTTCCAGTCTTTCTCGTCCCCGTCTCCTGCCGCTCGATCCTGCTCCGCTCCTCCGCCCGGCAGGGGCGGCGCAGTCTCGCCGGTGCGCCGCTGCTGACGCGGGCCTGTGCGGAGGCGCCCGCGAAGGGGCCGGGGTGCGGGGGAGGTGCGGGGCAGGCTTTTTTTTGCCGGCCGCTCGGTGCCATTGGTTCGATGATCCTCAGCACTTGAGTTAGCCCAATGCGTGTGTGTGTGTGTGTGTGTGTGTGTTTGTGTGTGTGTGTGTGTGTGTGTGCTTAGTGGGCCCTGGAAACGACAGGGTCGTTTTTTGACCGGTTCCGTTTTGCCGTTTTTTTGCCAGTTCCGACGCCGTTTTTTTACCGGTTCCGTCGCCGTTTTTTGACCTGTTCCGGCTCTGGTTCCAATCCTGGAGCCGTTTTTTTGCCGTTTCCGGTCGCCGTTTTTTTGCCGTGTCCATTTTCAAGGGACATCTTTTTTGAAACGGTGAAAAAACGGCCCTGCCGTTTCCGGGGCCCACAAAGTATGTGTGTGTGCACCCAATGATGTGTTATGGTTTCTGGGACCAGCACCCCAGAATTTCCAGGCATCCCAGTGGAATCACGAGGTTTTTGGGCTTCCCTGACGTCGGGAACATTGTGGATTCACTGGGATGCTTGGCATTCGGAGCCCTGGGGGTTGCCAGCGTAGATTTTTGTTGGAGGGGGAACATCCAAGGAATCCCAAGCATCCCAGTGAAATCACAGGGTTCGGTGGCTCCTCGTGTGTGCGGGATGGCTCACAAGCTTCGGGCTTCCCCTGTGGGGGAAAGTGCCGTTTGCTTTTGGGGAGACGGAGAGGGAGAGAGAGAGAGAGAGAGAGGAGAGAGGGGAAAGGCAAGCTAAGTATGCAAGCGTCACAGCGGACGTCCTACCCCTCCCTCCTCCCTCCCATCCCTTACCATTGCGTTGGTCTTCTCTCTATTTGCACAGTCGGCTGTCGAACTGGGCAATGATCCGCGGTGCATTCTATAGAACGGCATAGCACGGTATAGAAGAGCACGGCCACAGCCGACGTCGTCGCGTCGAGAAAGCGTCTCATGTCGACAACAAGGTCAGACGGAAACCAGGAATGACACAGGACTGGACAGCGGGAAGCGCAGAATGAGATCAGCGCTGCCGCGGGAACATGTTTTCGAAAGACCGAAACCGCGGAAATGAGACCAGCGCTGCAGTGGGAGCAAGATTGGGAAGGACTGGAAGCGCGGAGCCGAAGCCAACGTTGCAGCAGGAGCACGATTTGGAAGAATCGAAACAATGGAATGAGGTCAGCGCTGCACCGGGTACATGATTTGGAAGGACTGAGCACGGGAACTTGGAACCAACGCTGTAGCGGGAGCGCCATTCTGACTGGACTGAAAATCTTCGGATTGGAAAACACATGTTAATTCGCAGTTCGGCGGCATCCTGTGTAACAAACAATACGCGGAGGAGACCAAGGCACCTCACCAGCGTCTTCGGGGGGAGAAAGGAGAGTAGTATGCATATTGTGTAGTTGTGGAGAGAGAGAGAGAAAGACAGAAAGAGAGAGAGAGAGAGAGAGGGAGAAAGAGAGATAATGAGAGAGAAAAGGTGGGCGGGTAGGTAGAGAGAACGGTTCTATCCACTTATATACGGTTAGAGAGAGAGAGAGAGAGAGACAGAAAGAGAGAGAAAGAGAGAGAGAGTGAGAGACATGAGGGAGAGAGAGAGAGAGAGAAATATGAATAGCGATACATATATATATATATATATGTATACACATATATATATATATACATGTATATAGAGAGATAAAGCGAGAGATAAGGGTGGGGAGAGAGAGAGAGAGAGAGAAACAATCCTACGGTCTGACGCAGAAGTGGGGAACGAAACGATGACGAACCAGGAGTGAGGAAGAACGAAACCGGATGGATGAGGAGAGGGAGGACGATGCGGGGATACGCGCGAAGAGGAACAGGATATGGCGGGAATCGGACACGGAGGAAGGACAGCGAGGATCATAAAAGGCATGTGATCGGTAAAGAAATCGATGATGGTAACGGAGATGAGTATGAGGGGTGATATGATGAGGGAGAGTAGGGGTGCGAGCGGACCAACATGCGCTCAGGAGGGCGATCGGGAAGATGGACGAGTAGGAGTAGCAGCATGAGCAAGAGCAGGCGCAGTAAGAACGGAGAGTAGAGTAGACGCGAACAGCGCGAATCACCGATGGGAAATCAATGGGTGCTTTGTGTGCTGCGCGTATATGTATATAGTTCCATCGCGGTAACCATCTATCGATAGCAGTATCAATCGATGTCTCTATATGTCTACCGATATTTCTACCAGTAAGTTGATCGATATGATTGTCTATCTGTCGGCCTCACTGCTATCTTTTTTTCCGATCACATTAGCGATCCATCAATGTACCATCGGGACAACCACCAGGGGAACCACTAGGACAACCTTCGGGACGACCATCGGGACAACCACCGAGACAACCATCGGGACAGCCATGGGGACAACCATCGGGAGAACCATCGGGACAACCATCGGGGCAGCGGTCGGGACAACCATCAGGACAACCATCGTGACAACCGTTGGGAGAACCATCTGAACAACCATCGGGACAGCCATCTTCTTCTTCTCGAACGGCTTACGCCCCTAGGCTGCCGGTTCTACTGCTCCGAGAGAACTGTGCGATGTAGCTGACTCAATGCGCTCTCTAATGCGATAGCCTCGGCCTCAAATGCGGATCGGCACCTTGGAAGAAACATGCCAAGATCTGCTACTCTCTGCTTGTCCTCGTCTGGTAAGATCCTGAACAAGACCATGCCTGTTGCTCCTCCAACTCCTCGGACGAATCCGCCGTCCACGGGACAACCATCAGAACAAGCAACGGGAGAACCACGGGACAAGCACGGGACAACCACGTGGCAGCCGCGGGACAGCCCCGGGCCAAGCCCGCCAACCACACGGGATGAGAGTTTTTTTTTTTGTTTGTTTTGTTTTTTGTTTTTTTTTGTATCTGGTTTCGCCCCGGCTGCGGCGGGATCGCTGCAGGCTTCGCCCGCGCACGCAGGCTTCGCCCCGCCCGCAAGAGCAGCACGGACACGAAACCGAAGCCGATGTCCTGGTTGGGGTTCTCCGTTCCTCTCCTCCTCCTTCCTCCTCCTCCTCCTCCTTCCTCCTCCTCCTCCCCTCCTCCTCCTCCTCCTCCCTCCTCCTCGTCCTCCTCCTCCTTCTCCTCTTCCTCCTCCTCCTCCTCCATCTCCTCAGCCTCCGGCTCTTGAGGCATGCCTTGACTTGGATAGCAAGGTATCCGCAACTGGGCAATCAACCCGCAACTCGTTGTTTTCGTGCAACTTTACGAGGAATACAGTCCGTACCTGTGAGACCGGCCAAAAGCCGATACGATGAGGAGGTGGGGGATGGGTGTCGGTGGTGGTGGAACCAACGATGAGACAACCATCGGTACAACCGCTGCCATCCATCGAACAATCTCTATCAGTTCATTGTCTATCTATGTTAATACCTATCGGTCGATCTCACTACCACTTTGTTTGTCGATCAATCGATCGATCTATCTCTCAACCTCACTAGCGACCACATTATCTTTCAATCGATGTCACTACTAATCGGTCTCACTGTATATGTGCATATATGCATATAGATCGATCTCGCTATCTGTTATCTTTCTATCGACCTTCATTTCCATCGATCTCACTATCGACCTTAGTGCCGATCTCTCTATATTGTCTTCACCACTTAGCTATCGATCTCAGGATCTGTCTGTCGATCTCACTATGTATCCATCGGGACAACCATTCGAAGAACCAGCGCATTTGCTGTAGCACATTTGCCAACATCTCGCGGCGCCGAACGCGCCGAACACAGTTTTTGGGCCGGAATCCAGCGGGACAACATCGGGAGAATCATCGGGACAATCGTTAGGACAAGCATTGGGACAGCCATCGGCACAACCATCTGAACAATCATTGGGACAACCATGTATCGGTCTGTCGTCGATAACACTATCAATCCATTTTGCGGTCGACCGATCTATATATCCGTCGATATCGTTTTCCATATCATAAAATAGCTATCGATTTCACCATCTAGATATCGACCTCACTATCTGTGTGTCGGCCACAATATCTTTCGACATCAATGTCAATATTCCTATCGATATCTTTTTTCGACCTCACTATCTACCTATCGATCTCAGGACCTGTCTGTTGATTTCACTATCTACGAATCGTGACAACCATCGGGGCAACAAGCGCAATTGTTGTGGCATATTTGCTGAAGTCTCAAGGCGCCGAAGGCGTCGATCGCATTTTTTGGCCGAATCCCATCGGGACAACGTCGGGACAACCATGGGGACAACCACTGGGACAGACATTTGTAGAACCAACGGGACAACCATTGGGGCAGCCGTCGGGAAAACCTTCGGAACAACCAGCACATTTGTTGTGGCGTTTTTGCCCAAATCTCCAGGCGCCTCAGGCGCCGAGCTCATATTTTTGGGCCGAAATCCATCAGGACAACATCTGGAAAACCATTGGCACAACCATCGGGACAATCATTTGGACAGCCGTCGGGACATCCATCGGGGCAACCATTGGGACAACCATCCGGACAGCAAACTGGACAACCATCGGGACAACCATCGAGATAACCAGCGGGACAACCATCGGGACAACCATCGGGACAACAATCGGGACAACCATCGGGACAACCATCGGGGCAATCTTCGGGACAACCATCGTGACAACCACTGGGACAACAACCATCGGGACAACCATCGCGACAACCATCGTGACAATCATCGGGGCAACCATCGGGGCAACCATCGGGACAACCATCGGGGCAACGAACGAAGGCGTCGATCGCATCTTTTTGCCGAATCCCATCGGGACAACCATCGGGGCAATCATCGGGACAACCGCGGGACAATCACGGGACAACCATGTGACAAACGCGGGACAACCATGGGACAACCGCGGGACAATCGCGAACCCAAGCTGGTAGCTGGATGGGAGCAGAGTCTTTTGCATTGACTTTGCCCTAGCTACGGCGGGATTACTCCTCTTGCCCGCGCACGCATCTTCGCCTCGCCCGCGCGCACGGCACGAACACGAAACCAAAACCGATTTCCCATGAGGGGTCTCCGCTTCTCTTCGATCTCACCTCTCAGCCTCCCATCGCCTGCACACCGCCAAGTCTTCGAATCTGTGGATTTGGTTGTCACTCGATGCTTCAGGCAGGATTGCGCCGCGTACGGAATAGCGAGCAGCTCTTGCCGTAAGCTGCCCACCACGCTGGGTCCACCGCAGACCTTGCTGTTGCCAGGCAGGGGGAGGGGCGCTGCTCCCGAGACCACCCAACGGTGGGTACCCGCCCTTTCACTGCGGTCGGGAGGCCTCAGGCAAAGACCGGTTGCAAGGACCGCATGCAGCAGGGGGCCGAGCTAGGACTTTCCGAGTCTTGCCAGCTTCTTGGCGAGCGAGCGTCCCCCTGGTTGTGAGCAGGCCTATTCTCGATATTGTGCATCGGGATGAGCCCGAGGCGCGCTGCGTAGGAAAAGGACCTTTTCGTCGGCGGGCACGTGCATGCCCGCCTTCTGTGTCGCATGAGCCCCTTGCCCAAGGCTACCCCAAAAATCGCGTGAGCGATGGCCAGCCTGCTCGACGAACGCGAGTCCTGGCTGGCAGCGAGAACAAAAGCTGAGCCGAGGCGCTTAGCACGCTCGCGCCCAAGCCAGTGAAATTATTTCCAGGGCTCGGAGTCAGTATCGAGATTCGTACTATGTGCTTCCAGGCCTAGGAGTTCCACGGCGCGCAAGAACTCCACCCCCACAGCCCATGCAGGGTTGCAGATTGCTCGTGCAGGCTACGCGCTTCCGAAGCACCGTCGGCGACGACGACGATGACGATGACGACGACGACAACGCGACGAAGTCGACGTCGACGGCGAAGACGACGACAGCGACGATGAAAACGACGATGATTATGCTGACGATGATGATGATGGTGGTGGTGGTAATGATGATGCTGATGACGACGATGATGATGATGGTGATGCTGATGATGCTGATGATAAGGAAGAGGACGATGATTGTGTTGATGATGATGATCATGATGATGCCGATGATGACGATGATGATGCTGATGCTGTTACTGTTGTTGTTGTTGTTGTTGCTTTTGTTTTTGTTGTTGTGGTTGTTTGCGACGACGACTGCGATGCCGCCGATGCCGCTGTCGATGCTTGCGATGGTTGTGATGCTTCTGCGAGAGAGGGGGACAGAAGCGGGGGAGGGTGCGACAAGGAGGAGTGATATATTTGTAAGGAAAACGGATGCAGGAGGAGAAGGGGGGGCGGAGGAGGGAGGAGGAGGAGGAGGAGGAGGAGGAGGAGGAGGAGGAGGAGGGAGATGAGGAGGGGGTGGTGGAGAGGTGGATGAGGGGGAGGAGGAGGAGGTGGTGGAGGATGAGGAGGATGGACCACGGAAGGGGCCCCTCCCCGCCGCGGCAGGCTCGCCCAGCGCAGGGTTTCGCAGAGCAGCGCACGAAAACACCTGGCCTGCTGTCGTGCGTCCAGGCGCCGGCCTGCAGCTGCTGCTGTCTGGCCTCATCTTGATTCTGCTCTCTGTCGCTCTTTCTTTCTTTCTTCCTTTATTTCGTTCTTTCTTTCTCTCTCTCTCTCTCGTCTGTAGACATATACACATATTTATAGGTATAGATCTCAAACACACACACTGCCACACACTATATTATATTTTGTATGTATGTATGTATCTATGTATGTATGTATGTATGTATGTATGTATGCATGCATGCATGCATGCATGTATGCATGTATGTATGTATGTATGTATGCATGCATGCATGCATGCATGGATGTATGTATGTATGTATGTATGTATGTATGTAAATATGTATGTATGTAAATATGGATGTATTCCCTGAGGGCGGCCGAACGGCCCCAGACACCCACGCCCGAAGACGACCCAAAGCAGACCCCAAGGAGGTATTGGAAACGCACGAAGACATTGGTTTCCGATGGTTTTGATTGATTTTTGGAATGCTCTGTTCTTTGGTCTTCCGGGCGTCCGAGACCGCCCAGGATGCCAGAGAGTCACCCCAAATTTGACCAAGAGGGCTTCCATGCAGTCCCAGAGGAGCCCCAAGACGGCCCAAAAGGAATCAAGATGGCCCGAAGAGAGGCCCGTGACGGCCCAAGATGGCCTCAAGATGCCCCCCGAATCATTCCAAATCATGACCTGGTCGTTCAGGGAGGTTGCTGTTGGAAGCAGGGTGGCCCGGGGACGCGCCCAGAGCCCTCAGAAGGAACCCAGGAGGCCTCCGGAAGGCCCCGACAAGCTCTTCAAAACTTTCGTGAGGCCCCCAAGAGGCTCTTCTAGGCTGACCCTCCGCAAAAAGAGCTGAGGATGGCAACGAATTCGCAGGGTAGGGTGAGAAAGAGGATGCGGAAACATGAGGTAAGGACGATGAATAACAGTATTACAGCGCCGATGTCGGCAAAGGCAGCAACGAGTTATCGCAAAGTGTTTCGTTTTATCTTATTGCCCTCCTGTCTGCATGCCGAATCTCAAGGACTACAGTACATGGCGCGAAGCGCCAATGCAGTCATGCCTATATATGTTTATATATATATATAGATGTCCCTCACTCTCTCTCTCTCTCTTTCCCTGTCTCTCTTTCTCTCTCTCTCTATCTTTTGTTTCTCTCTCTCTCTTTCTCTCTCTGTACCACTCGTCTCCGCCATTGTCCTCGTTGTCTTCATTAGCTCCTTCGTCGAGGAAATTGCAAACAAATGTCGCATGCGAGCCCCTCTCTTTGCTGCTCTTGCACTTTTACTTTTGCATTGGTCCAGATGTTGTTGACGTGTACCTGATGCTGACTGATCACCAGTGCGAGCGTCCAGATATTCTTTTAGTACCCACGAATTCTATGACGTGGCCCCCCCTTCGAGATTGGACAACACATGGACGGAGAGAAATATGAGTCGTAGGTGGGGGCAGTCTGATATTTGGGTGGGATTGCTGTCGCCAAAGCCTTGGACAGCCAATGCTGCGAAAAGCCTGCATGTGGCTAGAGGGAGGGTGAGGCACCAGCAGAGAGGGCCGTCCATGGGCGATGCCTCCCTCGGTGTTTCAAAGAGTGACCCCGGTGTTTTTGTCTCCTGCCTCGGACCTTTTTTGGCTCTGTAGACGCATCGATCACTGTACTAGTTCGGTTGTTGTGTGTTTTGTGTTTCCCTCATGCCTTTTTTTTCCGTGAGGTGGACTGGACAGGCTCGTCGCACCCGTTAGGCGGTTGTCTGACTTTCGGCCGCCGAAAGCGCAACCTACGGCGCAACCAAGGGTTTCACCTCGGCCGTCCAGTGCGCAACCCAGGGCGCAACCAAAACCAGCTCGTGGTATTCCCGGCCGCCGACTGCTGATTGCGCAACCTGTGGCGCAACCAGTAGCAGGCCGTTTTGCTCTCGGCTGCCGGGTGCTCAACTTGTGGTGCATCCCAGAGATGGAGCGCGGCGTGGCATAACCCATGGACGGCGCAACCCATGGCGAGACCTGTGGGCCCATGGGTCGCGCAACCCATGGCGCAGCCCATGGGTGGCGGGACCTCTGGCTCGACACGAGGGTGGCGCACGTACCGCTGGCGGGTTCATGCATGCCTGCTCGCCGTCTGGGCTGGTGGTGGGGCGCACGTGGCGAGCCGTCTTGTGATTGGTGCCTTCTGCGAGCGATGATTCCTGTGGCAGTTTCCATGGTGGGCTTCGCGAGCACATGTTTCCACGAGCATTTGCAGCGCTGGACCCTGCGAGGTCGGCGAGTGGGTGGACGAGTCCGACGAAACGAACCAGGCTTCCCTGCCGTTAACGCTGGATGCCACTTAGTCGCCCCCTGTGTTGCAGGGATGCCTTCTACTTTGCTCTTGCCACTCTTCTGTTCTCCTGCTGTACGCCTGCCCTCTCCACCTTGTCGCTGATCGTTGCCACATCGTCCGCGTCGTACCACCTGTTTCCTTGGTCTCTGCTCGCGCTCGTGCTCGTCCGTCTTCTCTGCTCTGCGTTTGGCACCCTCTCCCCTGTCTTCGGATAGCTCCAGTACTATCACTCTTTCTTGTGGCCGCAGCCCGTGCTCTCCTTGTGCTTTGAAAGCACTTGCATCCAGCAGCAGTTGGCCTGCTGGTTTTATCCTACGCCTCCTCTGTTTCCTGCTTTTCCTTCTTCCCATCCATAGCTTCCTCCGGTGTGCAATCACCCATCTGGTGTGGTGAGGTAGGGAGGGGGGGGGCTACACGATCTATTCCCCGAGGCGATTGCGAGGGTAACATGCAGCCTGTCCGATGTGTCTCCTGTCTGACCAGGTTTCCCCGTCTTCCCTGCAGTGTTCCCCCTTCTCAAGTAGCTCCTGTCTAAGTCGTTTTCGTGGTCTTGTTTGTTGTTCTCGCTCGCATCAGGAGCTCGCCGCCATCATCGACGGCATCATCACCAGCGGTGGAAGCAGCAGCTTCTGCTCAATATCCGAAATCTTTGACGTCTGCATGACCCTCCAACAAAATCATAGGAGCGCCCTTGTGTAACCCCTGCCTGCAGGGGGCCAGTAGAAACTTGGCGGGCATGCAAAGCATTCGCCACGTGAAGAAGATTGCCCTTGACGAGCCTCCCCTCCCTCATGGGGAGGAACAGCCTTACTCGACCTCCTGTGCGTGCGTGTGCGTGTGTGGTCCCGTGCAGTCTTTTTTGAGTCCCCACTTCTGAAGAACAACTGTTGTTTACCCCCCCGCCCGTCCGCATTGTGTTTCGTGAGTTGAACTGCTCCCCGACGACTCTCGCACTTTTTTTTTTTGTTTTGCCAGGGAAAGGCTGCAGGTTCAAACTGCGCTGTTGGCCCTGGACTACAACAAGGAGTCCCGCCTGATACTTCCCTTCAGTTTGTTCTGGCAGTGCGTTTTGGTTCTGACAATTTAGTCAAGACTCGCGCTCTGGCCTGGGATACCCCCGCAATTTGCGCAGGTGCCGCGCTGCGCTGCTCCAGAACCGTGCTTTCGCTCGGTACGCCTCGCAAGTTAGTCGGGAATTGCGCTCCCGCCACGCAGGAACTTCGTTCTCGCCGATGACTTCCCAGCAACTTCTCAGGAAGCTCGTTCGCCCGATACTGCCCCACGATTTCTTCAGTGATCGTGCTTGGATCTCTAATCCACCAGACCCGCCCTGTAAGGTCCGCCCGCCCGCACAGCCCGTGCGGGACGCCCGCCAGACCCGCCTGTTAGGTCCCGCCCGCCCTACCCGCCCAGTCAGGTCCGCCCGCCAGGCCCGCCCGCCCGAATTGCCCTGCCCGTTGGAGTCCGTCCGCCCGGCCGGCTAGTCGTACCCTGTAGGTACCCTGTGGGTGCACAAAGGGGTTCGTTCACAAACGAAAAGGGCGGGAGCAGACGGTTTGGGGTATGGTTACATTCGTCACATGACAGCAGCCGCCCCCCCAAACTGATTTGACTTCGCAATATCGTGAGACAGTTCATGCATGTGGATTCCCTCTGCCAGCCGGCAGTATATTTCTCACCTGAAGAGCCCCCCCCCCGATGTCCGCACACTTTTTGTCAGGGGTACACTCATCAGAGATCTTGAGAAAGAACTCGTTTTTTGGTTGAGTCCAGATTTCTTTTAAGACATCTGCCCGTGTGGACTGGTTCCCCGAGGTTTTCTTAGACTTCGATTTCGAGGTTCGCTAGACTAAGTTTTAGATGCAATCTCCTCACTTTCTGCTTCTTTTCCGTTTTTTGTTTTAAAATGCGATTTGGTACGCAGTTATTTGGACGAACTTGCTGGACATTTTTTTTTTTGTGTGTGTGTGTGTGTGTGTTTAATAATTTTCTTACCTTGTTTTCCCGGATGCAGTGGTTAACATGTGGGGGACCTGAATTTATTGAACATGCATTCTTGAATTGAATAATGTTTGGACTTATGGTAAGTATTCCCCAAGCAGTTTATTCCATTATTGCCCAGCGAATTCAATAATTCAATCAATCTTTGTTCAAATTGCAAAATGGTTTTGCATGGCAGATCCTCCGATCAATTGCGCAACAACATTGAACAACATAATATTGTCTGACATGTTTTTGAATTTTACTTTCTCAATCTTTTTTCTCACCCTCTTCATCTCTCCCAGTCGCTCCCTCTTTTCTTTCTCCTGCGTTTGCCTTAGGTGATGCATACTAAACGAACAAATCGCGTAACTTCGATAGCGATCAATCATTTCAGTTTCTAACTCAGCAGGTCCCGACGGTGCGGTATTGACCTACCTGGCAATCGCGGGTAACGCAGAATCAGAGTTTGATTCCAGAGAGGGACAGCCTGAGAACTGTCTTGTTCAGCGATGGATCGTTCAAGTCTCTGGCTCATCAGCTTCCGACGATGGAGTCTTTGCCTACCGCAGTAATGACGGGTAACGGAGATTTCGGATTCGATTCTGGAGAGGGAGCTTGAGATTTGTCTAGTTCAGAGTGGTGCTTTGACATCGTTATACGCTGAAGAGCTGATGCTTTGTTCCTGGCTCGGTAGGAGGGAGGCTTGAGCATAATTGGCCCCAGCAGCAGTGCGAGCACAGAGCGTGCAATTTAGTAATTTCAGCCCGGACACGGCAAACGTTGCAATGAAGTTCGACAATCAATTTGGCCGACCGCGAGAGCAGTTGAGCACGCAGCAGTTTCAAAATGGACTGTTCGGAAAAGTCCAAGTTTAGTCCAGCAGCGTATGTGTGAGTTCAGAAAGTAATGTTGTTTATGGTATGAGTGTCAAAATTCGACGAAAGAATTTATCGTAAGTGAACGTAACACATCCGTCGTCGTTCCAGGTTTTTAATTTAGTTATCATATTCGGGCAATGTGAGCCACTCGAGTTATTCGAGTAAGTTGCACCATCTAGCAAATTGAATAATGCAAACAATCCGCAATTTGAGCACTTCAAGTAATTTGTTCAAGTTTAGCGAATTTCAGCAAGTTTGAGGAATGCTTTGCATTAGGAGTAAGTTTAGCATGTTCAGTGGTTTGATTCATTAAATCAATTTGAGCAACTTTACAATGTTTTTAGTTGTATGAGCAATTTGAGTGATTGGCGTGTTTTTTTTGCTTTGGGTACCTTTTGCATAGTTCGAGCAATTCCAGCTGTTTTAGCATATTGATTTATTCGAGCATTTCGAGACTTTTGAGTAATTTTAGCAACTTGAGTAATATGAGCAACTTCGGCGTCCCCAGTACTTCATCTGAATAATTGGAGTGATTTGAGCAATTTGGGTACTCTTAGTATTGTAAACCACTTGCGTAATGGGAGCAAGTGCAGTCTGTTTGTGGTAGATCGAGAATTTGGCAGAATCAGAGCGATATGACAAGGAAAACCATAATTCGAGTACCTGGGTGATTAAGGAGTTTGAGCAATTTGGGGGATTCTGAGCAATTGGAGCAACTACAATATTCTGAGAAATTCCAGCAATTCGAGTAGTTCTAGGAATTCGAGCAGTCCCAGTAACTCAAGCAGTTTGCGTAATCTGGACCATATGCGCAATGTCAGTGATCGAACCTGTTGCACAATTATTGCGTGTGGAGTATTTCGGGCAATTGGCGCAATGTCAACAATTTGAGTATGTGAGCGACTCGAGCAATGCGAGGAACATTGAGCAGTTTGTTCATTTGGGCATTTGGAGTAATTTGAGCAGTTGAGTAGTTTTAGAAATGTGAGTACGCTCAGAGTGTTGTATTATTTGGGTATTCAGGGCCTTTTACACGTTCGGATCATAAGTAAGATGTTGATCAGTCCGAACAAATTACGGAATGTGAAGTTTAAGGCAGTTGAAACAATTTGAGTTATTTGAGCAACGGGAGTAAATTTGAGCTAGTTGAGCAACTTAATCTTTTGAGCAAGCTGAGCAGTTGGATCATTTCGAGCAATGCGATCTTTTGGTTTGAAACATGATGTGAGCACTTTCAGTAACCGGGGGAATGTGAGCAGTTTGAGTAATCGAGCATGCTGAGCAACTTCAAACAATTAGAGCACGTCAAGTAATTCGAACAATTTCTTCTACAGCATTCTAGAAGTGTTCCAGATCAGGACTTGGACTACTGTTTAGGAAAACGCCTACGGTGGGGTTCATTTTTCCAGGCTGGGAATTTCTTAACTCTAAGCGGGGGTGCTTTTTTGCTGCTCTAGCAGCGTTGCTGCCCCCGGGCTGCAACAACAATGGTTCCCGCCGCGTACTTCACCACAAGTTATTCATGAACCGTGCTGTTGCAATTTTGTCAAGAGTCGTGCTCTGTTCTAGGACTTCCTTGCATTTGCGGATCGCGTTCTAGCCTGGGGCATCCCAGCATATTTCGTAGGAAGCGCGCTCGCCCGATGCTTCCCCACGATTTTTCCTGGACTCGCGCTTTAATGTCCCAAGTGCCAGACCCGCCCGTTAAGGTCCGCCCGCCCGACCCGCCCGTGAGGGACGCACGCCCGACCCGTCGGTAGCATCCGCCCGCCTGGCCCCGACCCACTTGCTTTACGGTTCCGCTCGCCCGACCCATCCGGTAGTGTTCTCCCGTTTCTTTGTTCTAATGTTCCGCTAGCCCGTCCGCTCTAATGTTCCGCTAGCCCGTCCCCGTCAGGGGCCGCCCGCCCGACACTCCCGTGAGGGTGCGCCCGCCCGATCCGCTTGTCTTGCCCCGCTGGGTCCGCCCATAACTCAGCATGAAAACACGAATTCCCCAAATGGGGTACGTTCATAAACGAAGAGGGCGGTAGTGGAAGGCTTGGGTGTACATTTTGAGTAACATGCGGGCAATGAAGAGCGAGTGGCCTGAAGATGTTTGTTGGTGTTGTTGTTGGCTGCTATGCGCTCTCCTTGCCCTGGCTTGTCCTTGCTTTTCTTTTGCACGTTGCGCGCTTGCTTTGACTTCCATGTGTGCTCGCCTAGCGCAGCCACCCTCTTCTTTCCGCACGCGACTCGCCATGGGTAGCCCTCCCATCTGCAATGTCGGGTGGAATTGACGCCAAGCGTGCCTCGTTTTAGCTCTCGCTGCAGTGGCGTCACTTGGCTGCTGGAGGAATATATATATATATGTGTGTGTGTGTGTGTGTGTGTGTGTGTGTGTGCGTGTTGGTGGGGGGAGGGGGGCAAAGGGGAGGGTGTCGTTGAGGGGGGTACTCCGCCTCCACGTTTGGGTTCTGAGCTATGGTAAAAGAGCACGGCTACGCAATAATGCGGGAGTGTATGGGTGGTGGCAGGGTTCTGGGTGGTGCAGAGCTTCAGGTGGCGCCGAATTTCCATTATTTCGGTTCACGTTTAGATCATTGTTTGACCTGTGCGCGTTTTGGTTTGGAAGTGTCGATGGGGCTGAACAACAACCTCCGTGCCCAGCAGTTGGGAATGCAAGCGTGCGCGCGTGTATGTGTGAATGTGTGCGTTTGTGTGGGGATGCAGCATCGGCCGCTTCTCTAGCAAGTGTGTGTGTGTGTGTGTCCGTGTTGTGTGTGTGTGTGTGTGTTTGTGTGTTTGTGTGTTTGTGTGTTTGTGTGTTTGTGTGTGTGTGTGTGTTTGTGTGTATGTTTGCCTGTCTGTCTGTCTGTCTGTCGGTCTGTCTGTCGGTCTGTCTGTCTGTCTGTCTGTCTGTCTGTCTGTCTGTCTGTCTGTCTGTCTGTCTGTCTGTCTGTCTGTGTGTCTGTGCTGTGTGTGTGCTGTGTGTGCGTGTGTGTGTGTGCGTGTGTGTGTGTGTGTGTGTGTGTGTGTGTGTGTGTGTGTGCGGTTCAGTTCGCGCAACACAGTGCTGGACGGTCATTCAGTTGAGGGGACGCATATTGCCGTCGAGTGTGTCAACATTCTTCTTTTGCAACGGTTGTAGTCTTGCATATTTGTGGCTTTGGCAAGCGTCGATGTCTGCACGGGCAACAAGAAGTAGTGGGAGTAAGCTCTTATGCGTGATTTGGTCATAGTGTCGTCTCCTGGTGCTTGCTGAGCCGCCGTTGTTGTGTCAGCCTTGCTTTCACGCTGCCGTCTGGCCGGGGGGGCGACACAACCGCCCGGTCAATTAGCATATGTAAACCAGCGAAGCCCCAAACAGTGCGTTCTTACACTGTGCAGGTGGAAGCTATTCGGTGTACGTGGTGAAAGCTATGTCGTGTATATTCGGTGTGCGTTCTGGAGGTTAAGGCTATGTGGTGCGAACTATGTCGTTTAAGCTATGTCGTGTCAACTAGACGGTGTGAACTGGATGTGGACACTAGGGGGTGTAATTCACCAGTGCCCATTTGTGAATTGTCAATTCCATTGCTTGCGCAATCATCCCACCCGCCCACCCACAAAAATGTTCGCATAATCCATGGAATGGCAATTGTTATGCCTGCCTGGCGATGGCTGGCGCATCGTTGCGGCCGCGCTAGCGCGCGCAGGCTCGCGCGCAGAGCGGCCATCCAGTCTGGCGCAACCGACGCGGCCGTGTCGGCGCTGACCGCGGGGGACTTCCCAACGCGTCTCACAGTCCGCGGTGAGGCGTGGGCACTTCAGTGCGAGTCGGTGACCCGGGCGGGCGCGGTATCATGGCGACGTCGACGACGGCAGATACTGTGATCATTGCAGTGATGCTAGTGGCGACGATGACGATGACGACGGCAAATGACGGCGTCTTTGCCGATCATGCCGACGGCGACGATGATGGTGCCCACGCGTCGGTGATGAAAGTTTTGGGGAAGATTTCGACATGCGCGCGCGGCCGACGGGCTCGAGTGGCTACATTGTGTTCTGTGACAGGGATCGTCCCCCCCCAGCACGCGCGCAAGGGCGTTCGAATGATGTCGAGCGCGAGGGGTGCGTTTGGTCGCATTTCATGCACATTTTGAACAGGCCATGCTTCTCGGACAAATTCGCAAAAGCGCGCATTTTTAAAAATAAAAAGGAAAAACAAGAAGAGGCAAGACCATGTGATTATATAGTTTCGGGGCAGTCGATTCTTACACATTTCTGACATGCCGAGTTTGCGAACGATGTGGGCATGCATGCGCGCGACGACGCGCGCGTATGCACTTCGTCTTGCTGTTTGTTGGCCCGGTGTTCTTAGACATAATTGATCTTTGATCAGCGAATATGCGCGCATTGTATCGCGCGTTGGTTTTTCAGACGATGTTGCGGGGATGCAAACCCGGCTTGGCTGGCATGGCACGAATTCATAATTCGAGCGCGCTTTGGGGCATAATCACATGTAAAGTGCACATTCCGAAGGGGAATATGGCCGGGGGGGGGCAGTTCAGATTTTCCCACACGCGAGAGTCTATGTGACGTAAAATAGGTTGTTGAATATTTTCGGTGTTACTGCTGTGGCGTAAGATAAACGGTGTAAGGGTGTAACACACGCGTTGAAAACTATGTCGTGTAAACTCACTGCACGGGGTGCCCACGAAACGCCCACGAGGCGGCGCCGGCGGCAACGTGGCGCAGCTTCGACAAACTCACCCACCGCGCAGGGCGCCCACGAGGCGCCCACGAGGCGCGCACGAGGCGGCACGGGCGGCAGCGTGGCGCAACCTCGGCATACCCCCCCCAAGCGCAGGCCGTCCACGAGGCGCCCACGATGCGGCACGGGCGGCAACGTGGCGCCACCTCAGCATACCTCTCAAGCGCGGGGCGCCCGCGAGGCGCTCACGAAGCGTCACGCCCAGCAACGTGACGAAAGCCCAGAGTACCCATCCAGCCCATTGAGAAAGTCAAACAAGACCCCCTACGTGAAAACACTATGTGGGGACGGCATACACACATCTCCCTCTATATGTTGATGCATCTGTGTATGTATGAAGTGTATATAAGTACGTACCTATGTATATGTATACATGTATTTACGTGCGCATGTTCTGCGGTGTAAACTATGCGGTGTAATCTATGTTATGTGAGCCACGGAGCGGGGACGAGATGGCCACGGGCGGTGACGCGGAGAAACCTCGATATGCGATGCAGTATGCGCGAAAGCCTCTCCGGACCCACCCAGCGCACGAGGCTGCCACGAAGCGGCCACTGGCGGACGAGGTGGCCACGACGCGGCCACGGGCGGTCACATGGCGAACTCCCGCCTGACACACCGAGCGCACGAGGCGGCCACTGGCGGCTTCGTGGAAATTCCTCGATACACCCAGCTAGTTCCGCAGCAGGATGCAAGTTGTTGCGGTGTGGATGCGCAGGTTATATATGGTGCAAGCTACGTGGTGTAAGCTATGTGGTGCAACTCATCTGGTGCAAGCTACGTGGTGTAAGGGATGTGGTGCAAGAGGTGCGAGCTGTATGGTGCAAGCTATGTGGCGTAACTTCCTTGGAGCAGTCTACGTGGTGCGCGCTATGCGGTGTAAGCTATGTGATGCAAGACACGTGCGATGCCAATTGCGTTGGGCGGCCACGACGGGCAACGGGCGGCCACGGGCGGCCACGTGGGGGGCGTTTTTTTTGTTGTTTTTCTTTCGGGTTGCCCTTCACATTCCTCAGTAGAGCAAGTAAGAACCCCTAAGTGCAAGCACTGCTCGGTGAATGTGAGGGAAAAGCAGGGGGGGGAGGGCGGGGGACGTGAGTGAGCGGGAGGGGCTGGCAGGAGGGAGTCGAGTCGACGGGGCGTGGCGGAGGAGAGGCTGCGAGTGTGCCCGCTGGAGTGCCCACGCCAGGACATGCCAAGGAATGTGGGCCACAACAGCACCAACTGCATAAGTCCGCCGAGGAGGCCCGGGCCCGTCCGGGGGGCAATGTGGCATCCCCCCGCCTTCCCCGCCATACGTCCGTCCTCTTTTCCGACTTTCGTCTCCTCTTCTCTGCCTCGCCCCCTGTCCTCGCAGGAGTTCCTCCTCCTCCTCCTCCGCCTCCTCCTCCTCCTCCTCCCGTTCCAGTCTCCGCGTGTGTTTCTTTGCGCCTTCTCTCGTCCCGCCTCCTCTTTTTTTTTGTCGAACCCGCTTCTTCATAGCTCTTGTGCGGCCCAGCGTTTGGACATGTCGAGGCCTATAACATATACATATGCTGTCTTAGCAACATTCGAACGCAATGGCAACGCTATGCTGCAGATGGAGAGCACGTGGGATAGTGGGTCCTCGCGCGTAGGTGGTGGCAGCAGCTACCAATTGCTTCTGCAAGAGGATCAGGTCCCTAGGCAATGCGCGGAGTTCCCTGCGCACCTCCTGGTCCGAGCCACTTCCAGACAGCTTGAATCGGCAGCGGGCGGCCACCTGTCGAAGCACGGGCATGAGAGCGCTGTGAAGCAGACGGCTTCGGGAGAAGGGGCCAGCCATACTTCGGTACCAAGCCACAGTTTCGAGAAGCACTGCGCGTCTGCGAGGGAGAGCCTCGTGCACAGGTCCATATCGTAGTTGCCGTAGACGCGATGCGCCAGGGGGTAGTAGGCCTGCAAGCTGGAAGTGGCCTTGGCATGTAGCAATTCGTCACCACGACTGCTCGGGAACATGGCGCTTGAGCTCGGTAGGAGGATGGAATGGACTCGGCGAGACTGTTTGACTGTCAAGTGCAAGGGGACTGTCGTCTTGCCACGATGGAGGCTGCGCTGGAGGCCGCAGTCGGCGAATGCGTCGATGATAATCTCCAGCAGCGTGCTGGCCTGCTTGACGGCCAGAGCATGGTTGGCGCACATGAGCGCGAAGAGAACCTCGTCCACGACCATGACGTTCAACACATCCGAGGAACGTTTGGGTAGGGAGAAGCAGCCAGACATTCAAGGAGAGCTTCAGGAGAGGTGCGTCAAGGACACTGGCCTGGCGCAGCCTCCACGAGAAATGCAAGACCAGCATCCCGGGGCCGGTGTCGAACCTTGTTCAAAACATGCCCGCCGATCGCGTAAAGATCAGGGTCCCGATCTTGCAGCCCTGCCGTCTGCCCTTGGTGGTGCGTACGACCGTGGCGTCCTGGTTCGTCACGCCCTTCTGCGCGGCGAGCCATGAGTTCGAATGTGGGTTGGCGACCATGGCGACCACGTCAGATGGAACACCAGCGGCGCGAAGAACATTGCCGTGCGTCTACAGAAACTCGGCTCCTGATCCTGCACGGCGACAGGGAAACCAGCGTCGCTCAACACGGCGCGGATACGGTAAGGGTCGGCAGTAGGCTGCACCATCGCCAACCCTCGGCACACTGTATCAAATGCCGCGGTAAGGTCAACGAAGAGGCGGACGAATCACCGTCGACGGGAGCGGCACATGTCGGTGTGCAACTCAGCAGTGGGCTCGGGGACAGTTGTCCCACGAGCCGCGACGGTACCGTGCTGCGTGCCAGCGACGGCGCAGGGGTCATGCGGTTTGAGGCGTCCGTCTTTCAGCGTGGCCCCGTGCATTTTCCCCGCGTGAGTCTGGATGAGGATGCCCCGACTGTTCGCAGCATTTGAGCGCTCTCCCTTGCGTCTCCAAGGATCCTGTATGCGACCGCACTTTCTGGAAGTGGGGGCCTTGCCGTGCGCGCGGTCGGAGTTGAGGACAGCCTGCATGAGTAATTTGGCTGGCTCACCGCCTGCCCTACATGCAGTAGGACCCACACCATCAGGCCCAGTGGCTTTGCGCCCCTTTTGGAGACCCGCAGGGGGGATCCGACGTAGTCGACACCGGCGGCGCATGCGGAACGTCAGTTGCAGCAGGATCAGCGGCGTCGGCAGCCAGTGAATTGGGGAATGTGAGGTTGCTGCCGGCGGGTTGATGTGATGGCACCAGTGCGCACTCCAATGTTTCTCGATGCCCAGGTCGTCGGCCAGAAGGTTGTCATTTGTGTCCTTGACCGCGCGATGAGGGTGGTCATGGCTGGTGTGCAGGCGACGAGCGAGAGCATGCAGAGGTCCAGAACCGTGAACAGCAGCGGCCTGCTCATCCTCGACGGCTGTCGAAGTAGTCCAGGTATCGAAATCCTGGGAGATCTACTGTGCGACCTGCTGACGGTGCCCACGGACAGCGGCGGTAGCGGCAGCTTCGGAACGAAGGAGTCTCGCAACCTCCATGGCAGCACGCAAGACCTGGGGCAGGGTCAGGGGCGACCAGGCGCGGGCAAGGACACGTACAGCGCCTCCAAGAAGAATGTCGTGGAGTCCGCCGTGCAGCACGGCACTATACCGCCCACAGACACACAAGCGTCTGCTGCCAGACCGCCTGGCGAGCACGTGGATCGCAACGGAGGCGTCGTTCTGGCCAGTAGCGCAATTGTATCAGGAGGGAAAAAACACACACAGACACAATTAATCGTCGATTCCCCAGAGAATATGGGAAAATATGGGAAGTGGGGGGGAAGACAAAGACCTAGACAATCTGGGAAAATATGGGGAATATTTTTATTCGTGTGTATTTGTGTGTCCTGGGGCCCCTTCATTGTAGCAGTCGTCCAAGGTCGCCGCGGCACGCTGGGGGCGGCGCCGACGCAGAAGCAGTCAAGTTTGAGCTTCACGAGTGAGGGCCGCAGCGCGGTCGCGAAGAGCTTCGGGAGCCAGCAGGCCAGCGAGACCACGAGCAATCTGCTTCCATAGGTACCGTTGAAAACTCAGCAAGCGCTCAGGGTCGGCTGTCAGAGAACGGCTCAGCCGAGCGGGAGCCCGATGGCAGCACTGCCTGCCCCCCACAGCGGGGCGGGGCACACGGAATTCAGTACAGGTGAGCAAGTGGTCAATCGAGTCCTTGCCGCTGAGATGTACAGCGTGGTCGGCGCCAGACTGGACGAAGCTGTCGGCTACATGTAGATGTTTGTATGTCTGGCTGTATGTATATTGTATGTATATATGCCTGCATGTCTGTATGTCTGTATGTGTATATGTGTATGTCTGTATGTCTTTATGCCTTTATGTCTGCGTGCCTGTATGCCTGTACGTCTGCATGTCTGTATGCCTGTGTATGTCTGTATGTTTGTATGCCTTTATGTCTGTACGTCTGTATGCCTGTATGTCTGTATGTCTGGTTGTCTGTATGTCTGTATGTCTGGTTGTCTGTATGTCTGTACGTCTGTATGTCTGCACCTTTGTATGTCTGTATCTGTGCATGTGTGCATGTCTGTATGTCTGTCTGGTTGTCTGTGTGTCTGCCTGTCTGCCTGTCTGTCTGTATGTATGTATGCATGTGTGCATGTGTGTATCTATGTCTGTCTGTCCGTCCGTCTGTCTGTCTGCCTGTCGGTCTGTCTGTGTGTCTGTCTGTCTGTCTGTCTGTCTGTATATGTATGTATGTATATACATTTGTATGTCTGTAGGTCTGTATGCATGCCTGTCTGTCTGTCTGCCTGTCTGTATGTATGTATGTATGTTTTTGGTTGTATGTATGCATGTATGCATGTGTGCATGCATTTGTGCATGTATGTGCGTATAAGTGCGTACATGCATCTGTCTGAATGTCTGTATGTTGGTATGTACGTAGCTTGGTCTGCCTGCCTGTCTGTATGTCTGTATGCATGCATGTATGTATTTACCGTTGTACATGTGTATGTGTGTATGCATGCATGCATGCGTGCATGCATGTATGTATGTATGCATGCATGTAGGTGTGTACGCATGTATGTATGTATGTATGCATGTATGTATGTATGGGTGTCTGTATGTATGTTTGCATGCGTGTATGTACAGGCGTATACATCACGATGTGTGCACACTCACACTCACACATATGCATATTTATACATATATACACATATGTTTCGATGTAAATATTCGGGAATTTATACCAATACTGATGGTTATATAGCAACATACCAGTTCGTGCCATATTGTACAGACACATTTGCACGCACATGAGTTCATCGCTGTGAGAGGTTCATGTCGACCGAGGCTGGTTAGTGTCTCGTTCATGACTGTGCCGTCACATGTTGCCAGTTTTTAAACCAGAACGGGCTATGTCGTCTATCCCGGACGTGGCTGCGTAGTGAGTGAACTGAAGGTGCGCGAGCGAGTGATTGGATGGCTGAGTTGGTGGTTGGTGGAGAGAGTCCTGTGAGTGCATCGGTAAGCAGGGAGATGGGCGAGGGTGCGAGCGAGTACTTGACTGAGTGGGTGAGTCATTGAGTGGCCGAGTGAGTGTGTGACCGAGTCAGAGGGGGAGTGAGTGATTGAATGGTGAGTGAGTGTGTGAGTACTTGAGTTGTTGGGTGGGTGAGCGAGTGATTTAGTCGCGAAGCCGATTAGGTCGAGGAGGTCTGTGAGTTTTTTAGATGTTGAGTGAGTGGGTGAGTTGTTGGGTGCGTGCGTGCGTGCCTGGGTACCAAGTGAGGGAAGGGGGTGATTATGTGTGTCTATGGGGTGGGGTGGGGCAAGAACAGAAACACAGAGACAGAGAAAGGAATGATATATATATATATAGAGAGAGAGAGAGAGAGAGAGAGAGAGAAAAATACACCCACTGCGAGTGAAAGTCTCTGCCAGTTTCAATCACCGTGCCGGAGTTGGTTCCATGTGGGCACGCGCTGCTCTGCGCAGGACTCTGAAGCACATGCGGCTGCGGAAGCCACGGCATGGAAGGTTCAGGTCACTTTCGAAAGTTCCTATGTGCTGATCATGCATTCTAATAGGAATGTCTGGAAGGGCTAGGGAGAGAGAGGGAGAGGGCAGGAGGACAAGCCAGCTGCGCTCGCGCCACCTCTGTCATCCTGGCAATCCCACCTGTCCCTTTCCATTGCGGTGATGGTTTTCCCTGCCCGGCCACACGTTTCATAGCTGGTCTGGACCCCCCCCCCAAAGGAACCCCATCGGGCAATGGACAGTCGGACAAGGGGAGCTGCGTACATTGGAGGGGTAGGTGGTGGACGAACGGGAGGAGGAGCAGGAGGAAGAGGAGGATGAGGACGGAGGGGGCCAAGGACGGCCAGCAGCAGCAGCAGCAGGGGCGGGGATGGGAGGAGTGGGAGGAGCAGGGCGACCAGGGGCAGGCGGAGGAGGGAAACGGAACGGGGTCAGTCTGAGCGACTGGAACACAGCGCCGATCTTACAGTTAGGCCAGCGCTGCAGCGGGAGCGCCATTTTGGAAGGACCGAAAACGTCCGGACTGAAAGAGCACATAAGAACAGACGTCTCGGACCAATCTGGTGTGTGAGTAACGAAACGCGGAGGGGTGCGCGCCGCCCTCAGGCCATGCACGGGGGAGGGAGGAGAGATGTATTCACAGTGTGCGCTTGTCAATGGAGGGGAGAACACGGGACACGGGCTGGCAACGAAGAGGCCGTGCGGGGGGCGCTCCAACAGGCAGTGGCCGCTGAGAGGGCCAACCGGGGGCCGCTTCCAGGGCCGATTGGAAGCCCTCCGAGCGGCATGTAGGCTGTGGGCGCCTCCATCTGCCTTGTGATGCTTGCCTCCTTCGTCGTCGTCGTCGTCCTTGGCCTTCTCCTCCGCCTCCACCTCCGCCCCCTTTCATTTTTGTCCTCCCTCCCCTTCCCTCCCGAGGTAATTGTGTATTGCGACAGCATCGATCGCCTATCGGGCCACCGTTGGAACAGCAGCAACAAACCATCGAGGGATCATCAGACTCTGTCAACAAGGCATCAGGGAGCTACGGGAGCACCACCGATAAATTATCGGGACACCACGCGGACACCTTTAACTCATCGAGTTGAACCACCGCCAGGACACCGATGGCACACCGCTGGGACACCGCTGGGACACCACTCAGGCACCTAGCGCGCCCGCCCGCCAGTTGAGGAGCAGGACGGGGCCCCTGGTACCGCGGCGTCGGGCGCACAGCTTCGAACGCTCGTCTCGCCACCCACGACGCGCACGGAAATCGAACCTTGGCTTCCCGGTTGGGAGGCCCCACGAAGCCTCCGCGCCCTCATCCGCAGACTTGTTGTCTCTGTGGCTTTTCGCCGGCATTCCCAAATCGGGTGATGTTATGTCGTTGTATCGGGGCTGGACAGATCCCCGAACAGTGACACGTCGATTAGTGAATTGTCCGTTTTCGGTTCTCGAGAGGGCGCCGTGGCCGTTATTTTCCAGGCTTGCGCCCGCCAGGTTTGGGCCTCAGGTCGTTTTCACTAAACCACGTTTTACTAAAGGGGGGTCTGTCCATCCCCGATCGTATGCGCCCTCACCAGTCTCCTCTCCTCTACTCGTTCCCGCACGTGCAGGCCTTGCCCGCGCACGCGTCATTTTCGGGCCTCTCTCGGTCGGGAGCGCCGTCCATAGACATTTGGGAGCCGCATATTATTATTCGCGCTTGGAGGCGGAAAATGACAGGCCTGTAGCATCTCTTACTTGTCCAACGCCTGCACTCTTTCTTGGTTGTATCTTACCTCGCAGTATCGCTCACAAGAATCTGCCCGCAGGCACTTTGAGGGCACATCGTCGATGGGAGGCTTCCACCAGAAATCCCTAAGCCATACTTTCGTGTGCCTCACAATGTCATTCCCAAGAGCTATATCCCATAGTTTTACGCCATTTCGACGAGCCCCAGAAGAGGGGTTCGCGAAGATGCGCTGGAGTGAGGGTTGGCAACGAAGGTTGGGATGGAAGAGGGGATGACGAGGAGGAGAGGGACGAGAAAGCGAGGATGAAGATGAGGAACAGCAAGGGATGGAGGATGACGGGACGGAGGAGAAGGAGGATGAACAGGATATGAGGTACATGGCATTGGCTTGTAACGGCCGGCCGTCTTCTTGCAAGGGTGGGGGGGTACAAGCATGCCGGGAGGTGCTTGCTGCTATCTCTGTGGCAGTTTCAGGACCCTCTCAGGTCTTTCGTAGGCTCCCTTGGAGGCGTCTTGGGGGCTTCCTGGGCGTCGCTAATGTTCGGGGCCAGATCCCGGGCCGCTTCTTCGGCTGACGGTGGGGCTCACCGGTCGGCTGGCCTGATGGCTGATCTGACTGCCCGCGAGAGGGTGCCCTGGAGTCTTGCAAGTTGGCTGTCTGCTCCCCCTCCCCCTCCCCCTCCCTCTCCCCTCCCCTCCCCCTCCCCCTCCCCCTTCCCCTCCCCCCCCCCCCCCCCCCCCCCTCCCCCGTCCCCTCCCCCTCCCCCCCTCCTACCTCCCCCTCCCCCTCTCCCCCTCCTCCTCCTCCTCCTCCTCCTCCTATACTTGTGAGTGTGTTGGGATTGTCACGTAGCACGCTAGCATGGTGGCAAGTCGGCTGAGAGGCTTCGCTAGCTAGTTCTTCCTGTGAGGTATACTTGGCCACTCGATTCCGAGGCCATATCGAGAAGTACCCAAACGAAGCTCGTTGCTCTCCACTTATCTGCAGTCTTCACCTTGATTGCATCCTCGCTTCCTGTTTGGTGTTTGCTTTTCTTCTCGTCTCAGCGTGTCCCGTGGATGCGCAACTTGCACTAGTTTCGAAGCAGTTCTTCTCCCACCACAGCAGCAATAATTCCAGCGCGTTGACCACCGGCAGTTCGTTCTTGCCACATGTGTTGCACCCCATGCGTTTGGAACCTCAGGGATGTGGAACTCCATGTGCGTGGAACCCCATGTATTTGGCCATCGGGGCAAATGCCATGGGGGTTCACTGGGCCAGTGGGGCGGGGAGCCGCTGGGGTCCCAGCCATAGTGGTCAAAGCCACGGGAATCAAAACCATAGAGATCCAAATAGACACTAGAGAACGTCCAGCACATGTGACCAGTGGGGCTGGATGCCATGGGGATCCAAGTCAGATGAGGTCAAAGCCGTAGAGGTCAAACCCACAGGGATCCAAGCAGTAGCCGTAAAGAGTGCGACAAGCAGGGTTCGTGGAGAGGGAAGCCATGGGGGTCTAAGCAGCCACCCAAACATGCTGATCGCAAGGCCAGTCGGGCGGGAAGCCGCAGGGGTCCAAGTTATAGGGGTCCGAACCACCACCAGAAAAAGGTACTCTGCGTCAGGGCCAGTTCCCTGTAGCACAGGTCAGATGCCAGGGGTGCAGGCACTGCCCGGGACAAATAGAAGTGGCAGGGCAGGGCCCTGCTGGCCCGATAGTGGCGGTCAGAGGCAGGGGCGACCAAATGCGATCGAAGGGCAGCAACAACGATTGAGGGGGACGGGGAGCTCGCGCCAGTGGTGACACCTCTGCTCTCGACTCGGCACCTCTGCGCGGCGCGTGCGCGCCGGCTTCGGGGGGCACGGCGCCCCGCGGAGATGCACTTTGTAGCCGTCGCGGTTGCGGCTGCGAGCGGCATGGGGGGGCGGGAGGGTCGGCCGGCAGGCCGTGGGGCTCCGAAGCGCATGCGAAGGCGCCCGCCGTAGGCGTCGATTGTCATTTTTGGTGAGGGCTCTTCGTTTAGGTCCAACCCTGTCGCTTTCTGGCGGCCCCCGAGGCCCGCGGAGGGCCACGCGGAGGGCCCCCGAGGAGGAGGAGGAGGAGGAGGAGGAGGAGGGAGGAGGAGGAGGAGGAGGAGGGAGGAGGGAGGAGGGAGGAGGGATGAGGGAGGAGGAGGGGGAGGGAGGAGGGAGGAGGGAGGAGGAGGGAGGAGAGAGGAGGGGGGCAAAGCAGTGTGGGTGAGGGATCTTCGGCGGGTCGGCGGGCGAATCCCGCGGTGGGTCGCGGGTGGGTCAAGGGGGTCGTGCGTGGGTTGCGAGGCGGGTCGCAGGCGAGTCGCGGGTGGGCCGCGAGTGGGTCTCAGTTGCGGGTGGGCCGCGGGTGGGTCTCGGCGCGGGTTGGTCGCGGCGCGGGCGGGTCGCGGGTGGGTCGAGGCGCGGATGGGTCGCTGGGCCAGTGGCCCCTGGGTTGGTCGCAGGAGGGTCGTGGGGTGACGACACTAACAATAATAATAGTAATAATAGCAACAACCATCAACATAATGGCAACATGTACGGGGGATCCAACTGCAGCCGCGCACCCAGTGACTGTGTAAGACCGCTAGGCCCCTCATTTTGGTTATCTGGGTGTCAGGCCCATAGCTGCGGCCTGGTCCTCTGTGTCTTGAGATGGAGCCTCCGTCACGGAGGAGGACCACAGTGAACCCACAATGCATCAACGATGCTGCAATGCACCCTCCTGTCCCCAGTTCCACTGCGGGGGGCTCTCCACTTGAATGTCGACCGCCTGGGTACCCCTGCCATTCAGGCGAGACTCCGCTTCGTAAAGTATCCACCATCCACCCTCCTAGCTAGAAGACACGCAGAACGGTATGCTGACAACGTTCAAGGACGTGTTCGGCCATTGTTCCGTGTGAAAAAAGGATTTGTCTTCCATCCGCGTCAGCGTACGTCGTACAATTCAAGTATTATGGTCACGCAAGGCGCGACAACCCAAGAGAGAGCTCCATTGTGAAAAGGAGCTGCCCTCCATCCGTGTAACTGTTGCACAGTCTGAAGCCTTGGGTCATCGATTTTGTAGGAAGTCTCACATGACAGCCGCATTTTGAAAACTGTATCCTTGTAATTGTTGGACACTTTGAGAACGAATGTGCGCGGATTGACTGCGAGAGCCGTATTTCACCCGTGCAAGCGCTGCAATCCTTTGGTGCAAAATTACAGTAGTTCAAGGTGAGGCGCTCTCAAGCGAAGGGCCCCGCCCTGGCCTACGGCCACGTCTCGGTACGACAAGAGGAGTTGTTTATTTTTTTGTCAGGAAGAGGCATGGGGGAGGAGATGACACATGACCGCGGCTCCTGGGAGAAGCGATGTCGCGGAGGGCCCGCACACCCGAGTGACTGGCTGTCTTCAGGACGCCGGCCGGCGACGACCTCGCAGCAGGCCCAGGTCGGCGGTACGACAGCCTGGGGCAGATGCAAGACGGCCCACGACGGCCGTCGCCGTTCCAGAAAGCCATAGGACTGCCGTCTCCAGACTGCCGTCTCCATTCCAAACCTGCCGTCGCCATTCCAAAACGGCCCACAACCTTCCGTCACCGTTGCCAATCAGGAGGGCTCAGGACTGTCGTCGTCGTCGTCGTCGTCGTCGTCGTTCGTAAACGGCCCAACACGACCGTCGCCCTTCCAAGACGGCCCAAGATTGCCGCCACCGTTCAACACGAGCCCCTGCTCTGACAGGACCACCAGCTGGTCCAAAGTCAATCCCAGAAGGCCTCCAGAGAGCCCTCCAGACGGCCCCAATAATGCCTTAGGAGGCTTCCAGCGGATCCCACTGGACCCGTTCAGGACTCCAAGATGTCCCCAAGGAAGCTAAGACGGCCTCAAGCTACTTGACAAGGTCCTGACTGGCGCTCCAGACCATGTCGTGAAACATATCGTTCGCGAAGTGCCAGGGGGTGTGACCGAGAGCGACTCATCTAGCCAATATCATAAACAACGAATCTGCGCGTCTTTTACTGGCGTGTGTTTCTTGCTGTCTTCCTCCTCACCGCTGAGGTCGTCCAGGCACTTGAGCAGAGCCCCAGGTCCGTCGAGGGTT